AAAAAAAAAAAACTTTTAACAAAAATATATTTTCTCTTCTATTCGCGTAAATTTATTTTCAATTTAAAAAAAAAAAAAAGTATTGAAAATATCCTTGCTCGTTTCGAAACTTTGATCAACCATTTTCGCAACACAATCTATACCATTTTTTTTTTTTTTTCATCCAATTTTTAATATCCTCTCGAATACCATAATAACCTATCAAACTCATTTCTTTCCATTCGTCGTTCATCATCATCGAAATAACTTTTTAAAAAAAAATGGCGATAAAAAAGTAGAGGCATCGTTCAACGAATTGGTATTAATTGAATTTCGTTGAAATCGAGTTGGAAAGTCGTCCGAATATGCTCGTAAAGATTTGTTTACGCGAGTTTTGCGAGATCGAAATATGGAAAGAGATCGCGTACAGGAATCGGTCGGAGATGATATTCGTGGTTCGAAGATGCCAGACGAAAGTTTCTAATTGAAGTGGCTTCTAACCGCACGCTGTTTTGCTCGATATTTCAGCGAGAAGCTGCTGTGCAACGTCGAGGCCGAGGAGAACTATAACTTACTGGAGGACATTTACGAGACGTTAAGTTATGACTGCGGTAAGATGTTATTGTTAACTGTGTGCATGAATGGCAGAGTGTTTAGTGTGTGTATGGTTGAACTTACCATTTATTCTAACACTTGGTATATTGGCATGGCTGGAATTAAAGGTTAATTGAGTAGGTAGTATGAAGAGACATATTGTTTTAGTATTGCTGTTAATAAAAAAAATATTTTGAAAATATTAATAGTTTTATAAAGTTTCGAAAACATTTTTCATTAACGAAATGCAAATTTCTTTTTCGAAAAATGATTTGAAGGGAACGTGTTACATACTCGACGTTCGATTCGGCTTTGTGTTTTGCAAATTTTGAAAATGTAACACCTCTGGCTAGCAACTCCATTTTGAATTAAGTTTATTTTTTCCTTTTTAAACTTAAAACAAATCGTAATATTCTTTTTCTAAAGTAATCTGTACCATATTGTAATAAAATTAAAGTATTAAATTATTTAAAAATATAATTTTGCGATTGTAATTATTGGAAACGTTACGATCAAATATTTGGGAGAATGTTGCCCCTAGTAATATCAAGTATTATTTAAATGTCGATGCAGGAGCGAAATGTCACTGTCAAATGTCGTCACAGCAATTTTTCATTCGTCGAAACTTTTGTGAAATGGCCGGTGCTTGACGGATTGCTCATCGACAGACGCTCAAACCTTCATTTCCGAAGCTTTGTTAGTCATTTTTATTCTTCGCGTGAAATTTTAATACAAAGACAAATACTTATTAAATAAAAAGAATATATATATATTCTATTCCTCACTTTCCATTAGTTTTCCATTTAATATATTTGCTAATCACTTTGAAATTTCTTTAATGTACACTGTACGCAATTTCCAATCAAATTATCATAATATATTAAATTTGCTGTCTAAATATTATTCAATTACGATTGCGTATAATTTCAATACGATGGGTTAGGAAAATTTAAATATGTACAAATAAAATGAGCACAAATAATATGTATACGTGAAAACGCATAAAATATTAAAAACAATCCATCATCATTATTTTCCATTTCTTCTAATCGTTATACGTGTTTATAAAAATTTGAGTCACTATTTAAATATTCGACGTATATCACGCACACTCTACTATTAATCCAAACCTTGAATAAAAGTCACTAAATACATCAATCAATCGCGTGCAAAAATTATTAAACTGCGTGGTAATCAGAGAGGCAGAAAGAACTTTAATTAATTAATTCATTCAGTTCAAAAGCAGTTTCTCTCTCCCTTCATCTTTCGTTCAAGAATCGTTACAACAGATCAAGAACGCGCCGATGATTATTGGCGTTTCTTCGTTTTCAGAAGCCGTACCCAGCAAATCTTCCCTCGAATCTCTACATTCAAAAAGTTATGCGATACTTCTTGGGCTTCGTGTTCCGCGTACGGAAGTAGCAAGATGCCGTCCACTTACGGATCCCTCTGTTGCTTTTACACGATCGAACCACTGTATATCTCGCACGTGAACCGTAAAATATTAGATTTGTGCGCGTGAAACTTTTCTCGAACCAAAAATCATCCTCGTACACCATCTCTCTATATATAAATATCTATTTATAAAATAAATATTTAAAAAAAAAAAAAAAGAACAAATAACACTTAATTCAAATTCTATTATAAAGAAAACCTTAGCTATTTTATCGCGTATTTACTCTCGAAACATTTCCATTTCCTTTCATCCCCTTTCGAAACCACCTCACCACCTTATCTCGATCGCTGACAAAGAGACGAAACCTTTCTTCCCTGTATTCCTGCTATCGTGATCATCCCCCTCCCCTCCCCAAGAAAGAAATCCGTCTTTGTTGTTGTCCCGCAACAGGAACAAGATTGATACGGGTATCAATTCCTTGAAAGGAGACGCTTCGCACAATTCGAGTTATACAGTTCGACGAGCGGGTCGTAAAAAAATAAAATCGATATATATCCTCTATCCGGCGGCGCTCGTCCCAAAGAGGATGACTTTTTTACCCCGTGCGAGCGAAGAATGGACGGCAATTTGCGTGCGATGTGCAGTTTACTTGGCGCCGAACCTCCAACGATTCCTTTTTTTCGAAACGGTGCTCGGCTCGTTCGACGACGTGGCGACTTTTTAATGGGGAGAAAAAAAGGAAGAAAGAAAGAAAAAGGGAGGAGGGAAAAGAAAAAAGGAGATGAAAGAGGCGAAAGAAAAGGGCGAAGGGGAGGAAAAAATTGGAACTCGATGAATAGAGAGAATAGGTATATATATATATATATATATATATACACACTATATACTATATTATATACTATATACTATGTACTATATATATATATCTTTTCATTCAACTGGGAATCCGAGGACTAATTTCGTTGAGCTCCTCTATTCCTCCTAAGTCTCCCCCTCTTCAAGCGTCTTCTTCGACCATTTTACTCTTTCACACGGGGAAGCTGATAACACTGGGCGCCGTTCGTTAATACAGGCTTGACCGAGTTTTTAATTGAATGACCGCGGGAATGGCGCGAAAAACCAATCGATATCGCGCCACCGCCGACATAAAATATTCAAAGGCGTTTCCATCTTGGGTAACAGGGGCACAATTTGTAATCCCCTTTTATCCGTTCCGCTCGTTTTCGCGCGTCTTCATCGGAAGATCGATGCGACACCTCGAAGCCCGAAGAAATATACCGCGCGCTTCCTCTCTCTCTCTCTCTCTCTTTCTCTTTCTCTCTCTCTCTCTTCCGTGAGAATTAAACACGGTGGCGGTTCTCGCGTTTTGTCCGATATATCGACTATCGCCGCGTATATAAGGGGGGAGGGAGGGGTATTGAAAACGATGATTTCGACACGGGGGAGGAGGGCGCACGAATAATGGAAGGGAAGAAAAATGGGATTTCTCGTGGCAGGATCTGAATTTGAATCATGTGTAAAAAATATATATATGTATAATAAACGATGTGAAATTTTATTCGAAACTTGTGATGGAAAAATGACGGAGTTAAATTTATTGTGAATAACATATCGATTGTTTATAATTAAAACGCGGTATCCGCGTGAAATTTTTTACCCTTACGTCGGAAAAAGGGAGGGAAATTTATATATTTGACGCGATGTCGTAGGGTTTTGTTTTATTTTATGTATGGTTAGGTGATTAAGAATTAAATTTATTGGATTGAATTTGATTTTTGAGAGAAATTTTTTTATCATCATTCGATCGAAGGCGGATTACAATCATTACTATTATCTCATTTCATGGTAATTTGATTCAACGGTAATCAGCGTTAATTAGCTTCGTTCGTGTTTAATTTTCCACGTAAAAATCTTGTTAAACACTTGCGAGAAAGAAAGAACGTTTTGTATTTTCTTCTACTTCACACATCATCCCGTTAAATTCACACCCAGAACAAAATTGTTTCTTCGTTCAATTCCCAAGGTGCATACGTAAATTTCACGTGTTCGCGGAGCAATGAAGTTGAATTGCGGATGAATTAATCCTTTATTCTCTAGATACGAAGGTACGAAATAAATACTGTCAGGATACCAAACACAGGATGCAAACAAATTAATATACCCGTCACTTTTTGTAGTTAATACTCTCTATAAATAAATACAATATTCTTCTAAATTAATTTCATTAACTCCAAACGAAAAAAAAAAATGTTTGCAAACAATTTTCGCTTTCGAAGAAACGTATATTGTACATATTGTTATAACATTGTACATCTGTATCTGGATACATACACATTACACGCGTCCCCATCGTGAATTGCTCGTCGAGAACAACCTCGAATCTCTTCCCTCGGACGAGAATTCGAAATATAACTACCTGACCCCGTAATTATCCGTAGAAATGCAAATTTCACGATAGAACGAGGATACTCGTTCAACTATGCCGGTCACGCTCATGGCGTTATCTTGATGATGCAACGTTCTAACGAGATGGCCGTTGCGTAGATCCGCAACAAACGATCCCGTGTGCCAAAGTTTTCATCTCGATGCGGTAACGACCAACGATACATGTATACGTAATCCCTGAGCTGAAAGATTAATGAGAGCAGGTAACGCGGTCCAAGAAAATTGCATTCGCGTCCACCGTGTGATCGTGTTCCATGATAATAACATAATCTCGATTCTATTTTACGAGATATCGGCCACGTTTATCGATTTACGTTTAGAGGGGAAGCTTATTTAATCGATTCTCTTACGCTCGAAACGATTCGCGAGTTTTTAAAGTTTCGATTTCAAGAAAATCGCTCGGATCGTTGGATCTTTAAAAAAGAATTGTCAATGATATCGAATTTCCGATTTTAATGATTTTTGGATATTGCAAATCTAATCTCTTTGAAATGGAAATGGTTAATGTAAATATGGAAAGTAACAACGCATGCAAATACAGAAAATTTGAATTCGGAAATAATTTTAATTTCGATGGAATAAATATTAGATTTTTGTTTTAGTTTAGTAACTCCTTTGAACTTTGATTTGTTTACTGAAAATATTGAATGTACAAAAATGTTTCGAACATCTTGAACTCTCCTTGGAAGTTCTTCTTCCTTCCATTGATTCTAGAAGAGTTCTCGGGGCCGAAACTTGCGTATCCTTGGAAGAAAAGTGGAGCGAATGAACGTTATCCGAATTGAATATTTTATAATCGAAACATCGGAAGACGTGGAAGATGAGAATAAGGAAAATAAATCATAATATTTTATTATGGAGATCTTCTTCAACAACGAGAAAATGAAGAATGCACAGAAGTATAATAAAATCTTTAAGTACAAGGTAGAATGTAGAAGCAAGAAGAAAAAGGAAAGAATTCACAAATAAGTGAAGGACTTACTTTTGAATTTAATACATATTTATTTATATGAATTTTCGTTCTTGCCTTTCTTATATATGGCGATACTTTTGATCAAATTATATCGCCATTTGTTTAGGTGGTGTGGTAAACTTAACCTAACCCATAATAGGAAGCACATATGGTCTCTCTGAAATGACCTGACACATGTGTGACCCAATAAAGACAATATGGAC